CTAGAGATGTCAAAGTGGGAAGAACACCATTTACTGTGGAAAGTACATCATTTATTGGAGATGTCAAAGTGGGAAGCACACCATCAACTAGAGATGTCAAAGTGGAAAGAATACCATTTACTGTAGAAAGTACACCATTTACTGGTGATGTCAAAGTGGGAAGCACACCATCTACTAGAGATGTCAAAGTGGGAAGAACACCATTTACTGTGGAAAGTACATCATTTATTGGAGATGTCAAAGTGGGAAGCTCACTATCAACTAGAGATGTCAAAGTGGGAAGAACACCATTTACTGTAGAAAGCACACCATTTACTGGTGATGTCAAAGTGGGAAGCACACCATCTACTAGAGATGTCAAAGTGGGAAGAATACCATTTACTGTGGAAAGTACATCATTTATTTGAGATGTCAAAGTGGGAAGCACACCATCAACTAGAGATGTCAAAGTGGGAAGAATACCATTTACTGTAGAGAGCACACCATTTACTGGTGATGTCAAAGTGGGAAGCACACCATCTACTAGAGATGTCAAAATGGGAAGAACACCATTTACTGTAGAAAGAACACCATTTACTGGAGATGTCAAAGTGGGAAGTATGCCATCTACTGTAGAAAGTACACCATTTACTGGAGATATCAAAGTGGGAAGTATACCATCTACTAGAGATGTCAAAGTGGGAAGAACACCATCTACTGTAGAAAGTACACCATTTACTGGAGATATCAAAGTGGGAAGCACACCATCTACTAGAGATGTCAAAGTAGGAAGAACACCATTTACTGTAGAAAGCACACCATTTACTGGAGATATCAAAGTGGGAAGAACATCATTTACTGTGGAAAGCACACCATTTACTGGAGATATCAAAGTGGGAAGAACACCATCTACTGTAGAAAGTATACCATTTACTGGAGATATCAAAGTGGGAAGCACACCATCTACTAGAGATGTCAAAGTGGGAAGAACACCATTTACTGTAGAAAGAACACCATTTACTGGAGATGTCAAAGTGGGAAGTATACCATCTACTGTAGAAAGTACACCATTTACTGGAGATATCAAAGTGGGAAGAACACCATCTACTAGAGATGTCAAAGTGGGAAGAACGCCATTTACTGTAGAAAGCACACCATTTACTGGAGATGTCAAAATGGGAAGAACATCATTTACTGTGGAAAGCACATCATTTACTGGAGATGTCAAAGTGGGTAACGCAGTGGAAAGCACACCACCTACTGAAGATATCAAAGTGGAAAGCAACTCTGAAGCGGGAGTGGGAGGTAAATCTCCTGTCAAAGTGGACTGAGACAAAATGGAAAGTGTATCATCTGTTGAAGTGGAAAGTATTTTATCCGATGTCGATGTGGAAAATATTTTATCCGATGTCGATGTGGAAAGTATTTTATCCGATGTCGATGCGGTAAGCATTTTATCTGAAGAACTTATAAAATTGGTCACTTGTGAGGACGTTAATGTTGGAGTCAATTCTGAATACGATGATTCATGTGATAAATTAGTCGTAATGGCTTCGCTCGAAGGTTCTGTTGCTGGGAATGAAGAACTTATAAAATTAGTCTCTTTTGGAGACATTGACGTGAGAGTTGTTTCTGAATCTTGTGATTTATGTGACAAATTAGTCGTAATGGCTTCTGTTGCTACTGGAAGTGAAGAGCTTATAAAATTGGTCTCTTTTGGAGACATTGACGTGAGAGTTGTTTCTGAATCTTGTGGTTTATGTGATAAATTAGTTGTAATGGCTTCTGTTGCTACTGGGGGTGAAGAGCTTATAAAATTGGTCTCTTTTGGAGAAATTGACGTGAAAGTTGTTTCTGAATCTTGCGATTCATGTGATAAATTAGTTATTGCAGCATTGCTCGAAGACTCTGTTGCCACCGATGAAGGTTGGGTAATGTCTCCAGTATGATTGATATCACTGGTAGGATTGGGAGAACTGGTAGTAGTGTCATCAGTATTACTGGTAACGACTAGTTTATTATTTTTAGTGCGTATTAAATCACTAACAGTAGAACTCGAAATTTCCGGTTCTTTTCCATCATTTTCTTCGGGATGTACCCATTTATTACTAAAATCAAATGTAAATATAAAAGTTTAATATCCAGTAATATAATAATATTGAACTAATGAATTTTTTTCTCTACCTTACTAAAACATCTGCATAAGATTCACATCCTGAATTCAATGCTTCATCAAAAGGGATCACCAAAATTGTTGTATTTTCAGGTAAATCATTTATTATACATCCACTATTTACGAATTTCGCAACTGTCAAACCTCCAAAGAAACTTTCGTAACTTTGGAGATCAAGACCCATAAAATCCACTTGATTATATGATCCAATTTCGGAATCTTGATCATCATAAACAATCAATTTTGCAAAACTTTGAGCAAGTAAAAACGATAATATTACAAGTTTCAATATTGATCGCGATCGCCACTGATCAATCATTATTATTGTGAAACTATCTTTAAAAATTGTTTATAATAATCAAATAATCTTTAGTTTTTATTTATTATTATAATATAATAATAATAAATGAATTTTATTCAAATAATTCTTTATGTTTATAATAATAAATGAATCTTTAATTGTTGAATCTCAAAAAAGAAGTTCAAATTAATAAATAAAATAAATAAAATTAGTTAAACATGAAAGTCATAAAGAAAAATTTCACCAGACAGTTTGGAGAAATTAGAAAACAAGAATTAAATGAAAATAGCATATTTATAATTAAAAAATATTTTTTCGCTGTTTTACAAAATCTCGTTAATGAATCATTGAGACATTGTTGAAATGAATACAGAAGAAAAAAACACAAGTATCTGGAATATTAAAGCCATGTTAGGAAAATGTTGTGTTAATGTATTTTACGTTCACTAAAAAAAAAATGGAGATGTATTATATATTAATATCATGTTTATGTAAAAGGGGTTTTCCGAATTAAGAAAAATATCTACATTAAATTTTGAATTGAGATTATTTTAATTAATGCATTTAGACGATATAGAATATTTTAATGCATTTAGACTATTAAATGCATAATCGGTAATATAAATTGTTAAAAGAAAAGGATAAACCATTACTAAAAATGATTTGATATATTTTTATTATCGAACTTTCTTGCCATGCTTTCTATGTTGATATGTAGTGTAAAATTGTTTATATAAACAAATAAATGGACGGGGGAATTATAAATCTTGGAAATAAGATTTAATGTCACATACACAGCATAAATTCAAATTATTTTTTAAGCTTTATCAGTACCAATCACATGGTTCTGTACCATGTGAACTTATTTGTTACCCAATACCTTTTAACCTTTTTTTTTCAATAATGACCATACAATTATCTCCAAGTGAATGCATTCGAAATATAATTTTATATCTAGAAGATGATCGTAAAAGTTTATATTCATGTCTTAGAGTGAATCGATTTTGGTGTAGAAATTCTGTTCCGATACTTTGGAAACGACCATTCGAGAAACGTATAACAAAGAAGGGAGGAAAAATCATACAAACCTATCTTTCTTCTTTGAACGATCAGGAAAAGACGATTTTAATAGAAAATGAAATCAATATTTCAACTTTAAATAGACCATTATTTGATTATGCAGTCTTTCTGGAAAATCTCAAATATAGATATTATATTGGAGCAGTGATTTATTGGGTGATGGCATATAATAAACATAAAAATATTAGATCAAAGCAAAAATATCAAATTCGGTTGATCACTACAACATTATGTAAATTATTTATGAGGAAATGTATGAATTTAAAATCAATGGCAATTGAAACTAAAAAGTATTGTTTGGAATTTCCTGAACTTTCAACATTTAATTCAGTTAATCCTGGATTATCTAAACTCACTAAATTTATTTATCATGTTAGATTTCATTTTGATTCAAACTTTTTAACACAAACAATTCAATTTATAGATACGTTTTCAAATTTTTGTACTAGTCTTAAATATTTAGAAGTTATGTTAATTACTTTTCCAGGAGAATGTATAGTAGCCGAAGCAATCTCGAATATTATTCGAGTCCAAACTCATCTTGAAGAAATTCGAATTTTATGTTCTGGAAATTTTGGTGCACATATTATACCAGCAATTGAATATCAATCAAATAATTTAATTTCAATTCAAATTAATGTAGTGAGATTAGATGGAGTTACATTAGAAGTTTTATCAACTTGTGAAAAATTAGAAAATCTTAGTTTAGGATTTGATGATGTTTTAAAAATGGAAAATATTCAATATTTATTATGTTCAAATATTCATCTTAAAAAATTAAATATTTTATGTTTAGAAAGGATTCCTTCAGAAGTTGTTTGTTCAATGATTCATAAAGGTGGTAATACATTACAATATTTATGGCTTTGTTTTATTACACCAGAAATAGTTAATTTAACAATTAAATCTTGTCTAAATTTAATTAGTTTGACGATTGATATTTCAACGGCAGATGAACAACAACTTTGTAAATTAATTAGTGCATATAAATTAAAAGATTTAACTATTTATGGAGCTGGAGAAGGATTTGGTGGGATTTTGGCATCAATAAAAGATAGTTTACCAATGAATTTAAGTTATTTACACATAGATTTACGATTTTCTTATAGAGAATTAGAACATTTCTTAAAGGATTTAGAAATTCCCTTAAAAACTTTGATTTTAGATAAAAATGTAATATTTGATTATTTTTATTTAGCAGTAATAATGATATATTTAGAGAGAAAAAAAACATTAAGATATTTAGGTGTCGCTTGGGGATCCAAATTTGGAGAGGAATTTCTAGAAAATATTCTAAGAAGATTGAATGATGAGTTTTGTGTTCACACTGTTTCGTGTAAAGAGTTAGATGGATGGTGAAAGAAAAGAAAAATTGATGGTAGTGCTTTTTCCTGATTTTTCTTATATAGAAAGAATAGATGATCATAATTTAAAGAATTTATCATTGACTTTATTAACTTTATTATTATTAATTTTATTTATTTTATTTATTTTTTATTTATTTTTTATTTATTTTTTATTTATTTTTCATTCATAGAAGAAATACGATTTTTATTTTCATGTTAGATAATTTATGAATATTTTAATAATATTTTTTTTACTTATGTTAATTCATATCAAAAAAAAAAAAGAAATAAACAAAAAATTGACATTTTTTTTTCTTCTCTGAAAGATGATAATATTTTTTTTAATAAAAAATATGATTCGATTTTAATTATTTTAATTGATTAATTTCCCCCATAATCATATAATATATAAGTATTGGATTTTTAAAAATATATTATAATTTATTTATTTTATTTAATAATATTATTAATTTTTGATGTTAAATAATGTAATGTTGTTACAAAAAAGAAATAATGAAAAAACATATAAAAATATCTCTAATAATTTTATTAATTAATTAATGTAGTAATAAAAATATTCAATTCACTTACCAAACACAATTTTGAAAAGCCCAAATCTAAAAAATTTATCGACTTTACCCAAGAATTAATTTCTCATTATTATATACAAATAATAAATAATAAATCATATTTCTTTTTTTTTGTCAATTTATAAAGATTTACTTTTAACCGCTGAAACAATATAAGCTACTAAATTCATTAACGCGATTATCCCATCACCACTTCCATTTTCAATTAAATGTGCCCAATTCCATCTTCCACTCCTCCAATTAGCCCCATCATTCCATGCTTGAGTTCCATTAGCTATCATTAAAACAAATAATGCAAGTTTCTGTGTTGACAAATCTTTAAATCTAATTAATGCTAATAGAGCCAATAAAGCTAAAGATAAATTTATCCCACCCAGTCTTTTTAATATATCCGCCGCGATTGCCGGTTGAAGACTTGATTGTTTTCTTCCCGAAGTGTATTTATCCAAGTAATTTTTCGAAGAAGTCAATAGTCTACGAACATTATACGCATGCCAAAGGAAAGTTAGAATGAATGGAAGATTATTTGAACGAAATATTTGACGAAATAGATATTGCAGAAGGGAAGAGAAATGACCAAATATGAAACTAATTGTTGAAGGGTAATGAGATTTTCGACGAACGTGGTGTCTAGCTGTTGTTGGTGTTAACGGACTGCCATTGGGAGTTTGAAATGATCGAGTAGTATCTTGATTTCGTTGAGACATTAAAAAAGATAAGATAAAATAAATCTCAAGTTACATTAACCATATTTATTAAAATGATATTAGGTAATCACAACACATGATATACAAGTACAAGTTAAAATCTGGCGATATGAACACTTGTTTTCTGAATTCTCCTAAATCTTGCCATCATTTTACATACTGTTCTACTATTGATTTTACGATGCAAACTCTTTCCCATTTCTTCCCTATTAAATTTAGGATGAATCACAATAACAGTTTTCCTATAGAAATCATTTACAAGGTTCTTTGATTCACGTCGCATAGAAATTTTGTTTGCTTTGCTTGTTTTAGTCAATCAATCATCAAGAGCTAAAGCAGAGTTAAATAAGCTTTTGTCAATCTTGGTTGTCTATTTCTGGGTAAATGAAAAAATGTACCTGGATCTAAGCAAGAATTTAACTGTTTTTTTTATAGACCCAACAAAATGGTTACTTGCAATATTGTCTTAAGTAGATAGTCACAGGTCATATAAATAGGACAGTTGTAAATTTATTTATTTAAAAATAAGGAATTGATTTATAAATAGGAATGTTAGATTCATGTCAAAAATTTATATTCTGCAGTTCCAAATGAGTTAAATGAATTTTAATTACAATTTACTCTTCCTTCCAGGTTGGGCAATTGTATTTTAATAAAAAAATTTATATTGGAAGAAGATCTTTTTATTGTTTGCTGAGATTTCTTCTCTGTGATAGCAAGCTTCCAAGTTTGAATTGCTTCCTTTATTGCTTCAATAAAAGAACATTGTAAAGTAAAGATATTATAAAGGTCCCAATGTCAATATGTTCATAAAATGAATTATAAAAATAAGAAAGATTTAAATTATAGTTTTTTATTGCTATTTATATATTTACCAAATCAATGAATTTAATAGGCATGACTAAGCATGGTGTATACAATTGTACTACTACAGGTATAATGTGATCGTGTATATATATGTAGCTATATTTTATGTATATGTTTTAACTAAATTTTCTTTTAATAATTTTAATAATGGATAAATTAACCTTAATGGCGGATGAAGTAAAAAAGTTGACAACTGATGAACTTATCGAATTTTTACAGGGACAGGATTACTTACGGCTTGACAGGGATGATTTATGCATTTTTCGTGAACACAAAATTTCAGGTTGGGCCTTCCTTCTCATGTCTCTCGATGATTTCAGAGGCTGTGGGTTTGGACTGGGACCAGCTCTGTCATTTGCTGACTTAATTAAAAGGATCAACACTGTAGATACGAATAAAATTCCTTACTCGAAATATTTTGAAATTTTTTCTTTCGAATTCTGGTCACTTGAACATTACATTATTTGGGTTATTGATAAACACGAGTTTACGGATAAGGATCAAGCTCTTCACATATTTTACGAATCTTTGCAAAGAATCGTCAATGATGAAAACGCCTCTATTAGAAATAAAGAATCTGCTCGAATACTTCTGAAAAATAAGATGGTAAATGTGTTCTCTTTATCTCTTTCTTTAATTCTGATCATTATTAAAGATGTTTTCTAATTTTATATCTATTTCGCTTTTTTTTTTTTTTTTTTTTTTTTTTTGTGCAAAAAGTCTGATCCTGCTAAAGTAGCTCACATATGGGCTAGTAACAGTCAAATCTCTGAGGTACGTAAGGCAATCAAGGTGGTAGAAGCGCATATGGAATTGGATAACATAACCAACCAACGTGTAGAAAAATTGAATGCGCAAAAATTGATATCAGAAGAAGCAATCTTCGCTTCGAGAGAAACAAGAGAAACAAGAGAAACAAACTTCACGTCAAGAGAAACAAATCCTCCGCCAAAAGAAACAAATCTCCCATCAAAAGAAAAACGAAGTAACATTCATCATGAAGTTAATGAGAGTTCGAATTCGATTAAAAAGATCAAAACCACCGGTAGTAACATTGTTGATATAGATCAAATCCAAATCTTAAACGTTGAACGTTATGTTAAGGATCAAATCTCAAATGCCGAACGTTTTGCTAGGGATCAAATTTCAGACGCCGAACGTTCGGCTAGGGAACACATCTTAGACCTCGAAAACCTTTCCAAGGATCAAATCTTAGAGGTTGAGTGTTTAGGTACAAGCTCGGTTTTTAAAACTATTGCAGTAGATGGAATAAAGAAAGAAGTATGTTCTTTACAAAATTTGCTATTGAATCATAGTCTGACAATAAATTTTATTACTAATTTCCAGTTTCCTTGTTCAATGTTTATAGCCGATATTACCACACGGAAGAGCTAATTTGCTATCCGTTCGTCGTAACGCTGGAATGTTATTCGTTGATAAGTCAGAATATATTGAGAAACTGGAGAAACTTGATTCAAAATTTCGAGTTATGCTCCTTAGACCACGTCGTTTTGGAAAATCTTTCTTCCTTGACATGCTTTGTTTGTATTATGATATTCAAACTGCGGCCTTCTTTGATCAACTTTTCGGCCCATTATATATTGGAAAGCACCCAACACGGTCCCATAACACACATCTTGTTCTTAGATTTGATCTTTCAACAATTGCTGAAGATTCACAAGAAGGGATGAGACTAGTTTTTAATGATGTGATAAATACAACTTTGCGTGATTTCATCATGAAATACACGGTAGAACTGGGGTATCCAAACAGTCACAATTTAATTGTGAAGAAAGCTACTACATCTTTACTCAGTGTTTTTAATTTGGTGCAGAGTCGGGGTTTTGATCTCTTTGTTGGAATTGACGAATATGATACTCCGGGTAACACCACTGCTTTCAGAATGGATGTCAATAAGGAACGTAATATTGGCAAAATTGAACAATTTTTTAACGTCGCCCTCTTTTCAATGCTCAAAAAGGGTTGTCAAGACGTAATCGACAAGTTATATGTGACGGGTATTTCTCCCGGTTTTAGTGCATCTCTCGATATAATTTTAGAGGACATATCCAGTAATTCCGATTTTCATGGTATATGTGGATTTACTGATGATGAAGTCAAAACGATTAGCTTGTGTTATTTTAATAATAATGAACAGATAATGAATGATGTTTTAGATCAAATAAATCGGTTATATAAGGGATATCGTTTCCTGAACACAGATGAAGATATGATTGCACCTTTATACAATTCACAGCTAATTTTTCATTATCTTATAGAAAAAAAAGGTCAGGAATTTGTTGCTTTACATTCAGAATCCGTATTTTTGAACTTTTCTCGAGTTCTTAAAACCATTATTGAGCAAAGTCCTGTGTCCATCAATGATGTCATTGATCTCCTTATTCACGGTTCAGTGCCAACCTCAGTTATAAGCAATTTTAATTATTCGGATGTTTTCAAGATTGAAGGGGAAGAACCATCAATTAAACAAAAGCAGCTTACTTGGTCCATTCTATATTATTTTGGTATGTTGACTCGTCGTGTGTCGGGGGAGTTAGTTATACCAAATGAAATAATAAGAACTGAGGTGAGTATATATATACCAGTCTTGTAAAAATCGACCAAAATTTGCTTTCAAAGCATTACTAATCTATAAAGATTATAATTCATCATATTTTAATGTCATTAGATCATAACGCGAGTTTCAGATCATATAAGTACAAAAAAGGATATTGGTTCACAGATATTTCCAGCTTGTGTTAGCCTTATGCAGGGTAACGCTAATTACTTCGTGGATCTTATTAAGGGCTTTTTTATGACTAGATCAATGAGTTCAGTATGTACAATGAATGAATCAGCACTTCAAACTGCTATTGAGATCCTTTTACCATCTGCACTTCGTATACCGGAGGTTTGCCTTGTGATTGATGATGGGACAAATCAAAAAGGACAATATTGTTTTGTGGATGTCTTCATTCCTGAAGGTGTAAATATAGAAAATCCTTTATCGACTGTAGCTTTAAAATTGAAATATATAACACTTATGGGATTGTTAAGTGGAACAAAAAAGCAATGGATTACTACTCCTGAACCCAAGATAATGGAATGGTTGGATAAAGAGATAGAAAAGGAAAACCTTGAACAGTTGCTAAATCGAGATTATATGTATTGGTCAATAGAAAAAAGAGGTTATGTGATAAATAAGGTAGGAGACTTCTTGAATTATGGACAACTAGAACTCGATAGATATAATCATGCAATCGCAAATGGCAAAGTAAGAGATTGTCTCGATGCGGGAGTTCTAGACTCTCGTATCGGAACCAAAAGATTCCCAAGTCAACTGAGAACATATCTTATTATGACCTTGGGATCTCGTCGTGTCATGGTATGGCCTTCCGAGCCAGTGGCAATTGATTGGAAGTATTACATAAATAACTAAGAACCTTATGGACCCAATACTAATTCATTTATTTACAAACATATTTGCATATAGTAATAGAAATTACAATAAAAAATGAATATAAAAAAATATTATTAACAAAAACTTTTTTTAAATTAAAATTTTTCAATGTATTAATTAAAAACAAAATATTTTCACAAATGCTGTTATTTCCATTAGATGGAAATGAAAAAAAATGTAGATTACCACTGTTGAGGCTTACTAAGCCTATGAAAATTCTAAATAAATAAATACAATATCAAATTTGTCAAAATTATCAAAATTATCATAAAAAAATATGTTTAAATAAATGAAAGAAATGTTATCATTTAGCTGTCTATAATTAAAAATTAGAATTTTATGAACTTTTTGTATCTGAGGAATTAACATATACACATTCTGAAACTGGATAATAAAAAAAATTTATTCATACCAGATTGAAAGATAATAAACAATTGATAATAATAAATGATACATCTATTAATAAAAATTATTATAAATTTTTAACTATTATATTATTATTATCTGCCCAATATAATGTTGTTTCTCCATATAATCTAGGAGAAGTCAATGGAAATAATAATTTTCCAAATACCACCATTCCAATAACTAAAGCAATACATATAACTTTAATCCAATAAATGAATGATAAATGATAATAATAAATGATTAGCAATATTTTTTACAATATTTCTTTTTTTATACAAATTAATAAAGATTTACTTACATAATTGTTGCTTTTTAGGATATTCTGAAAAATAAATAACAGGAAATCCTTGAGAATTTGCAAAACTGTGTACAAAAAATGTAGGAATGAAATTTCCTGTTTGGTAAATATAAAGAAATTATTTAGAATTATTTATATACAAATACAAATATATACAATTATATTATATATATGTATATTAAAGAATTTTTATTACTTACCAGTACGCATAAATATAAAAGCAGCATACCATCCAAATATTGTTGTATATGCGAATTGAAATACTTAAAGATATACAAACATTATAAAAAATGAATGTCAATAATAATAATTATCTATTGCAACAACAACAATAATAATAAAAAAAATTTACTAGAACTAAAAATTCCTATTTTTGCAGCATTGTAATTTCTTCCATTGTTAACATAATACTCCCAAGCATGATGTATATGAGCTATTTTGTAATAATAATTATAATTTCAAAAATCGCATATATATATATATACAAATAATATACAAATAATATGAGAAAGAAAGAGATAAAAATACCTATTGCAAAAACTAAAGGTGATATCCAAATTATTGGTTGACAGTTAACTTTAGCATAATAGAGTAATGAAATCATACAAGATCTGAATACAAATTCTTCTGTAAATGGTGCCTATATGATAAATTATTTAAAGAAATTACTGTTATAATTTTAATTAACAATAAAAACAAGTAAATAATAATAATAATAATAATAATAATAAAATAAATATACTTACAAAAATCAAATTCCTAAACCCAATCAAAGATGTAAATGTATATTTAATTTCCTGTATAAAATTAGAATTTTCTTGAAATGGTAATTCTTGATCCAAAAATTTGACATATAAAGGACCAATAAATAATATCATTGTCAAAAGTAAGGGAGTAAATAGGATATTAAATAAATAATATGGATTAAAAGGAATCCATAGACCCAATATAATAAATGTTGATTTGGTCTTTGTAAAAAAATTCTATAAGAAAAAAAATAAATTGAAAAAAATAATGATATACAAATTACAATGATAATATAAAATGTATATATTATTACCATTTCTTCTTCTCGGTCATTTTTAAATCCATTACTAATGTTTATAATGATCCAAACGGATATACAGGAAATAACACAAGTTATAAAAGTAACTTTCATACGTTGTTTTATGACCATAGGATGGTTTTTTGTTAACCCAGGGTTTTTATTACCAATCCTTGTTTTCTTGGAAATATATAAAAGTCCAACATATATAAATGTAAATATAAGACAACTTAGTCCCGCTATGAATGTGTTGATTTTAAAATTTGATGATAAAGGATTATAACGTTCCAATTTTACATTCGTCATATTTCACTAATTTTCTTTCTTTAGATTTCTTTAAACTATGGAATGAAAAATTCTTTTTTATTTCATTCATGATTATAGGTCATACAAATAACTTGTTCTACTTGTTCTTTCTGTCGTGTCACATATGAATCACTTCGGTTTATGTATGTAATTGTCAAATTTAGTGAACAAAGAGCATTTAATAAAATTTGAGGATTGTATTATTTCATTAGCATCGTCATTCTTATCAAAATCTTGTGCCTAGTAACAATATTAACTGTTAAGGTACAAGATGCTGTTTTTGGTGATTTTAAAACATAACTATTTTTATTTTTCCTTTTCGTTTCTTCAATTTAAGGATAAATTCCTTTAATTTCGAAATAACATAAATAAACAATACATAAATATATTTGATATTTATAAAGGATAACAATACTATCTTTACATAAGGCACAATAGATATGAGAGAATACAAAGTCGAATATTAAATAAATGATTCCAAGAATTTTAAACAAAATAACAAACAATACCAAATAAACAAGATAAGTTTTTTAAATTATAGTCAACTATCGGTAGAGAGTGAACAAGTAATCTTTATATACTTTACAAAACTATTGGAAAAAAACTTGTCATGCTTTTCTTTCAGTAAGTCTATTCTTGACCTGATAAACTATTACAAAATGCAATAACTTTATTTTATTATTTTAATGATCAAGGCTTAGACTAATTATAAAGAAATCTATTGAAAACTACTACGTTGAAGCTTCCTGTAATCTGGTCTTGTTTTTCATTCAACTTGTATTTCCTATAAATAAAAAACAAGTATTGTATATATAAACTGACATCCAACAACTCTCAAAGTATTGGCAATATATTATTTAAATTGAAATATTAATTTGACATTCATGATTTTAACACACGTGCGTACAAAAAAAATACTGTCCACACAAATTTTTGTTTTTAAAGATTTTTAAATTCATTTTTTTTTATTAATAGAATTAATGGATAAATCTATTATTACTTCTTTTAATTTATTTCTTACTAATATTTCAAATCCATTTTACCTTATCAAAAGCAAAACATTAAAAATTTGAAGATTTATTATTTAAAATTTTATAACCTAACTTTAGCATTTTTTTTTGATAGAACATAGAATCGTGTGGTGAAGAAAGACTAATTATTGTATTGATATATATAATAAAATATTAAATGTTATACAACAAATACATATACTTTTTCCTATGCACATTAAAGTTTATAGGATACAAGAATTATTGAAATTACAACAAATGAGTTGAAGTATATTACCAATAAAATAAATTCCCAATTTTTTTATTCAATGAGATAAAAAATCGATTATATTAGGAAAAAAAATACTAAATTTGAAGGTGTGATCGAATCGTACCATATATGGACGAAGATCAATTTTTGCTCCGAATCAAAAACTTTGGTTATTAATTCATAAATACTCCTAATAAATAATATTTTTTATGACTTTAATTATTCGTGTATGAATATCTTCATTCCGAAATTCAATCTGCATCGCAATTAACTATGGTATCTAGAAATTATCTCACCCTTAATTTTTTTTTTTTTTTTTAAAAAAAAACAACTCGTAGTTTTTTAAAAGAATAAAAACATCGCTTGTAACATATCTATAATTTGGGGTAAGAATGTAATCAAATAAAATCATTATTATTCTTGTTCTAGTAATTAATATCGATAGTTGAAAACATTGACAATTAGGTGAATGCATACTTCATAAAAAAAAAAATAAAATTTTTTTGTCGGCGAAACGACGCCCGGTGTGGGGCTCGAACCCACGACCTTAAGGTTAAAAGCCTCACGCTCTACCAACTGAGCTAACCGGGCAATTGTAATAATTCCGATAAATTTTCATTTTTATACTACTTTTTAAAAGAAAAATTGATTATTACAGGATTTAGGCGTGAGACCCCGACTTTCTGATGACATAAATATCTGAAATTCCATCAATATTTTTGTCATCAAAAACTTTTCATATTACAAAGAAATCGGGGATAATATAGAATATATTGTTCTGAAAATTCGGTGACTACAAATCTTTTTGAAATTGTTAGTAAACGGGCTTGCTAAGGGAAATATTGACGACATACTGATACCTTCAAATTCTAGAATGACATTTTTTCTCAATGAAGCTGGTTGGAAACTTACTCTTAGTTCTTTTGATTCATCATCATAAACTTGTGTTTATCTATCTTGATAAATTGGTCGGAAAGTACGTCTCGCAAAGAGAAATAAATCAAATTATCTCTCACACGTGATTGATGTTGATGTAAAGAAAATATTTCCTTTTATTAAAATCATTTCTTGCAACTTATTAGTTTTATTATATTTTATGAAAGTTAAATGTTTTTAATAAGTTTTGAATTTCTGTTTTTATGTAATTTTACATTAATAAGGTTCAACATTTAAAATTATTGGAAATTAATAAAAAGTGAAGAGAATCATTTTAAGGACTTTTTCTTTGGAATGGAAAATGAAATGGTAAAATAATTAGCCCCCAAAACTTTAATAAAATTACACGAACGATAGAAAATTATGATTCAATAATAAACTTGATAAAATAGTTAAATTTATTAAATTCTCTATAGATAAACAAAGTCAGTTCAGATGTATATGTGATTTTATCGAACAGTAAAAGATTGCAATTTGTTATAAAAGAGAGAATTCAACAACATATCGTTTTATGTTAACACTCCAGTATGTCATAAATACATTTTTTAAATTTATTTTTTTCAAATTATTTTTTAAATTTATTTTTTTTTTTCAAATTATTGTAATTACTTGATTAATATATTTTAAAAAATTTATCCGCTTTCTCTCTCTTTCTTACCTCTTTCTATTTCCTCTCTCTCTTTCTCTTTCCTCTCCTTCTCTCTTTATTTAAATATTAAATTTAACCAATTAACCGGTTAACCTTAGCTATATACTTTGACCGGTTAAATTTAAACAGACTACTTTAATCGCAATTAACTGATTAAACACAGTTAAATTCCAATTTCTACTTTATACAAAAATTATTATACAAAAACATATGTCTCACGCTATTCATGTCACCAAAAGTAAAAGGCCTTTGACTTAATTCCAATTTTTCAATTTTTAATTGCGTCCGACTCAATAATTGTCAATTTACTATGTAAAAATGAAAATTTTGCTTGACTCAATTCAATTTTTTCAATTTTTAATTGTGTCTGACTCAATTCAATAGTTTTGATGACATGTATATCTCATGCACAACCCTCAAATACAAAAGAATAGGAGGAATTCCGATTTTAGCTGATCTATAATATAGGATGCAATAGGACGGTCGATTTTTTGTTTTTCTATGATATAGGAATTCCAATTTTTAATATAGAATCACCATTTGGTACAGCGATTCTTTTGTATTTGACTAGTGTAGTAGAAAGAGATTCTGATCGATATCCATTCAGGAACACACATACCAGGGAGATATCGATGAGGTTGTAGTCACCAGATTCTAACAATCCTATGAACTCAACAAATCCAATGCCAGATTCATGGTTCTCGACTATACATGTTTCCAAAATTGATTTCTGATTTTTGAGGTATTTGTCTTTTTAAGATTTTTGAGATATCTATTCTATAAAAAAAATATCCAGTTTAATGTATCTTCAATCAAAGAATTTATCTGAGTGGTCAAAAAATTTCTATGAAAAACTATTTTGACTTTCAGGCCCAAAACATTTTGACTTATTTTATGATAGCCTATTTGCATACAAGTATATTCTCAACATTAATTTTAAAATATCAGATCCAGACACAACAACAGAGGATCTTTTATTAGCCACAATGTCCATAACAAGGAATAACAGTTTTAGAGAGTCATATCAAATAAGAAAAGAAGAACACGAGAAGATTAAAAAAAAAAAGAGGAGGGTTAAAATGGAAACTTTGGAGGATGGTCCATTGAAAGTTCAAAAGATTTGAATGTATCCAAACCATGAGCAAAAAGAAGATGATGGATACAGCCAGGCATTAAATTAGTTAAACAAGGAACATGAAAAAATAAAAAACATTAGATAAGAAAATTAGTAATTTATAAAAATAATTTTGAAACACAGAACCAATGGGTTACAGAAACACCAGATTGTATAAGAGACGAGCCATTAAATGAACTACTCGTAGTATATAATACAAATTTAAAGCAAGGAAAAGATTTGAAATTAAATCAAGAACAAGAAAAAATGGGAAGGTTCAATAACTATACAAGCAAGAGATTTTTACAAACAACATTTTTCATTTTTAAGAAGTATCAAAACATCAGAAAAATTATCAATTATTAAACATTCATTTAAGGTAAATTAAATGAATTTCATATCTGCATACCAATATTGTGTAAAAAAATTACAAAAGAAAATAATGATATAATATCATTAGATCCAGGTGTTCACACCTTTATGACCAGATATGATCCAGAAGGAAATATAATTGAATGACATCCAAAAGATATTTAGGTTATCAAAAAGATATGACAAATATCAAAGCGAAGAATCTTTATTAAAAGAAAAAATAAACAAAAGAAAAAGATACATAATCAAAAGAAAAATGAAAAAAAATTCACAAAAAGATAAGAAATTTAATTGATGATTGTTGCAAGAAATTTGCAAAATATCGTTGTGAAAATTACAAATTCATCCTACTTCCGAAATTCGAAATCCAAGAAATGACGAACAGGATGAAACGAAAAATCAACAGCAAAACCGCAAGAAAGATGATAACCGGGCTCATCACAGGTTTAAAATGTTTTTAGAACACAAGATGTGTGAATATTCGGGAAGAATATTAATAATATGCAAAGAAGATTACACATCTAAGACATGTGGACAATGCGGGTATTAAAACATAACCTTGGTGGATCCAAAATTTACAAATACAATTCATGTGGTTTTAAGATTGATAGTGATCATAACGGAGCAGGAAACATCTTGCTCAAACACCTAACCTGGCGTTGTGGCCTACCACGCTCAACCTGTAAAAAAGTTGTTCTATAAAACAAATACTAACGGTATCTTTTATCGCGAATGTTTGGTTTTTCTGTAGGGGATGTTGGAGATAGAAAACTGATCGTGATTAATTCAGAATGCGCAGTAATATAATTATATGCATAAGATAAATTGAATGTTTTATTTTTAGGTGTGTTTGTTTCGAATTTGTCATTTTGTTTCAAAAGTGTAATAATTGTGAAGACAAAATAGGAAATAATCCTAAAATGCGTAAATACTTTAATTAGAGATGTCGATTACCTTTATAAATATTCAAGGGTTCAATGGTTCATGTATGCATTAAAATAAAAACAACATATCGTATACAATTGGCCATTTTATTAATTGTAACAAAGAATATGATTCTTTATGTTCATATGATCGCATTGTTGTAGAAAAGTTATATATACATTCAAAATTTTTCTTTTTGACCACATCTTACGTCTTCCTCTTTGATAATATTATTCATTCTTTTCGTTCCTGGTGAACGAACTTTTTTTTTTTTTTAAAAAAAAAAAATACCAATAAAAAAAAAATACCAATAAAAAAAAAAAAATAAAAAAATTCCTTTCCAAATTCACATTTTTTCGCTTACATTTTTTTTCGTATTTATTCAATTTAATTTTCGTAAATTATTATCAATTTTCTTGAGTATGACTGAAAGATTTGATTCCCCAAAAATTTACACTCCTTATCGTTCTCGTGGTCAAAAATTATTCAGATGGCGAAGATCAGTAATACCAAAAGTTCTTTTCTCTACTTTCATAGTAACCACGATAGCAACTATAGTAACTGTACTTTATAAATACACTTCTGTGAATTTATCTATGGAAAAATCCTTTATTGTTTCAGTTGGTTTTGTGGTTTCTTTTTTGCTTGGTTATAGAACTAATACAGCTTATGACAGGTATTATAATATTATTTACATTTTTGCTTGATAAAAAAAAGTATTACAATTTATAAAAATAACCATATTTTCGGTTTTTATGCTGACATATCTTCAAACCTTTAAATAATAAAGATATTGGGAAGGGCTTCGAATATGGTCTACAATGGTAGTAGCCATTAGAAACATGACACGTATTATTTGGATAAATATCAAAGAGAAAGAATCCAAACATTTACTTGAGAAAGAAACTGCTATAAATTTACTCCTAGGATTCGCCATTGCTACCAAACATCTTCTTCGTGAAGAACAAGGATGTGATCATCAAGATCTGAAACCTTACATCACTAATATCCATAACCAACTTACTGAATTCTCTGCAAAACGTAATTCGAAAACCCAAAACAAAAATAAATCATCTTTCTTAAATTCTATATTTAAAAATCCCATCGAAATTGATGCAAAATTAATCGTGGATAAGAACCTTCCATTGAAAATCTCTTTATATATTTCCTCTTATATTTCTGCTCAAAAACAGCGTGGTTCTACTGATGATGCCTCTATAAGTATTTTACATACAAATCTTTGTACATTAGTAGATTGTTTAACCAATCTCGAAAGAGTTTTAAGAAGCCCCATTCCTTTAGCATATGCTATTCATCTTACTCAAGTTACATGGTTATATTGCTTAAGTTTGCCATTTCAATTGGTGGCAGATCTCGGATGGGTCACTATTTTAGTAACGTTCGTTGCAACCGCTACTTTATTGGGTATAGAAAGGATTGGTGAAGAGATAGAAAATCCATTTGGTCATGATGAAAATGATTTAAATTTAGATGATTTTTGTGGGTACGTAATGATATTTCTAATATATTTACCTTCTACTGTATAATGAAATTTATAAAATTTATTAATTTACATTTATTTTATTATCTATAGACTCCTGAAACAAGAATTATCCAACATTACAGCCAATAAACCTCCTAATATGGAAGACTGGATTTTTAACTCCGAGGTGCAATCTATTCTCGAAAATGATGATTTACAAAATAGAAATGTTTTAAATAGAGAAATTGGAATTAATAGAACAGATAGTCAAGATACCTTGAATCCAGAAATGACTATAAATATGGAAATGAAATAATTACGAGATGTAAATAGTGAAAATAATAAAAATAAAATTCATGAATTTCTAACGTTTGCACATAATAATTTTGCTCTTATTGTTTGTTCGCACTTATAACTTACCTTGGAGGCAATAATCATTTATAATAATAAAAGATACCAAAACACGATAAACCAATATCAATTGTTCAAAGCAATATATTTATTGATAAACATAATATATACTAAGTAAATTATAAACGAAAATAAATGATAATAAAAATGTTTCAAATAACCCTGACCCGTTGCCGATATCATAAAAAGAAAAGATAACTATCCCAAAGTAAGAGTGATGTGACACTAGATATATTTTAATCACATTTACGGAATAGTCAATACAATGAAATTGACGTTCTTGAAATACCTAATTATATTATGACGCCTTCATCAATGGAAGCGAATATTCAGAATGGATGGTTCCCAAGAACAATTATACAGAACCGCCAAAATTCTTAAATTCATAATTATCAAAAAGTCTAGTGGAAAGTCAACCTCAATCAAATCCGAATGATAAATCAGGGCCATAAATTATTTTTTTAAGCGAAATTATACAATATGATGTTTTGTAAAATTATAATGAAAAGAACCCATTTTTCAAAATGAAATGTAAATTTACAATTTTACATTATTTTCCTTTTTATTCTTCTAATCTACATGTAAAAAAAAAAAAAAATTTTATAATGATCCAATAGTTAATAAACTACTTAATTATATACTTAATATAACGGATAAATCCTCTTTGAAAATAATGGATCCAGATTAAAGGATTACTACAAAAGTCATGAACCTTCCAAATTAATGAAAATTGATACCGTGTCCTTCTTCCGAAAAAAATAACATGAATGCATCTTTGTTTTTTTAAGAACATATTTTTGTCATTGAGATTGCTCAAAGAACGTAGTGAATTACCTTATAATGAACCTATGGCGGGCAGCGAACCTAATACTGTAGTGGTTGAGCTTAATCCTGAAGAGTGAACCAAAACAGAAATAGATGAATTTAATTCTCATTTAATATGTATATATCATATTGTATATTTTATTAACTTTTAAAATAAACTTAATTAATATCAGATAAAGATATATTGGACGTAATTTCACTAAACTATATATTAAAATACTTGTTCCTTTTTTTAAGCTTACTATTAGTCTCAAAAAACAATTGCAAGAAACAATTACGCTTAAAAGTAAAAATAAAACAAGAACGGATATAATTCATGTTATATACCGATATAACGAACGAACTCATTGATTACTCAGTTATGACGAACTTGATTCAGAAAAGTTCCATTATGGCAAAGTAATTTTTATAAAGAATTTCCATTCTTTTATATATTATTTATGGCATATAAAATTTCAAGTTCAAAAGAAAAAGAAATATTTTATAAAATGTAGAAAATGTATCTACATATATTTTTATATATCTCTTGTCATATCGAGAGCAAATAATATGACACAAGAACTAAATTTATTATTTTTTTTTTTTTACAAATAAATGAAATGCGATGGGCAAAATAAACGAATCAATTATTTTTTAATAAGGTTCTATTATTAAATTTTTTAAAAAAAAAATTCTTAAAAAAACTATTTCTACGAACCTAACTAATTCTTGGTAGAAGTGTAATTTATTCCTGGAAACTAAGTGAGTATTTTCGTCCCACATTATCCCGATCAACATAAGAATAAAACCCAAAGACCAAAGATATATGTTTTTTTTATTCTTCATCATTATGCTCTTGAATTTCTTGAATTTCACTATAATCATAAATCTCAAATTTCACTCCAATATATCCTTCAACAAATATTTGTTTTTCGTGTGGAATATTTTCCCATTCAATTTCATCGTAAACTATTGATGGTAAGTTCACGATTGACCAATCAACAACATTCATATCATAAGCCAACATTAAAATGAATGGTCTTCTTGCTGCATGTTCAGATCTTATATAATATTCTGGAAGTGTACGATATTCTTCCATAAGCCACCAGTCTTCTATTAAAGTAGATTGTACTTTTAATCCATAGAATCTTCCTTGAATAACTGCTTTAGAGACTACACTCATATGCACAATAGTACCAATTCCTCCACATGGAGATGAAAAATCATTTAAAGCCTCAGAAATATTTTTTAATTCAAAACATTCAGTTTCTGGTTGTAATAATACATAAGGACATTTGATTTTCCAATTATTCTTAAAGATAGATGAACTTGTAGGAGGATACATTCTGGCCAACTTTTCGACAACATCTTCTTTGAAAAATATTAAAGAATGTTGTATTTTCAAGGACAATGATATTTGCTCATATTCCGATGATGAATTATCTTTAGAAAGTTGAGTCGCTGTATCCATAAATGTTTCTGAAAATTCATTAGAAGATATGTTGGAAAATGATCCAATTTTACTTTTTGATCTACCTTCACTCGACATCGATCCAACTTCATTTGACATCGATCCAACTTCATTTGACATTGATACAATTTCATTTGACATTGATCCAACTTCATTTGATATTACCATTTTAGATAAAGATTCAATTTTCCTATTGTAACAATTCACAATTGAATTCATAATTTTCCATTCTTTCAATGGATTCATATGATTCCAGTAATGACGTTTAACTTGATATAATTTTGTTTCTAATTCTCGTGTCAATCGAAGTTCATTATATAAATTTTCAAAATTAATTATGCAATCGTCTCGGGTTTCCCAAATATGAATTTTATTGATTGTCGAAAATTTCTTCAAAAATAATCGAACAGATTTTGACTGAAATTTCATTATATCTTGATCTGATTCTTGTGGAAAGATAAGATATAACATTTGAGTTGAAGATATAGTGGGAAGTTTTGATTTTACTTCATTATTTTCAACTAATTTCCCTTTTCCCTTTACAGATTTACGTTCCTCGATGTCATAAGAATGATGATAATTTCGATTTTTTTTAATTGACTTTGATCCAAATTCTACTTTCTTCATATTACAAGTTATACCTTTTTTCTGAAGAATATCTATAATATAATTTAGTGAACTCACAAGTGAATTTGATAAAAATAATACAGTGAGAGTAGAGGAATCTTTTGTAGATAAACTCAAATTTTCGAAAATATAATGATTCCATAAAGCATTATCTCGTAAAAGTGATTTCGATTTCGAAGAATAAAACAATTTATCGAACCAACCATTATTTGTAAGTCGATCAACTAGTTCTTGATTCCATAATAAAGGATTAAAATGTGGATCATATATAGTTTGTTCAAAATTAAAGATATTGAGACTTGTCATTTTTGAAGTTGATTCACACTCTTTTTTAGGAAAAGGAATTTTGAATGATGATAATATTTCGGATGAACCATTTTTGGTTGATAATGATTGTCCTATATTCGATGAACTTGCAGAAGATTGATTTTTTTGAGTGGAGAAGGTTGATGATGATTGTTGATTTAAAGGATAACCGCGACCACTGGATGTTGATAAAGAAGCAATTGGAGTACTTTGTAATCTAAGGTTTACAAATTGAATTGGTAATTGACTCGTCTCCGAAAATTTTTTATCATTATTAATAAAGCTATAAAATTCACCCGAGGGATTAGATGATAATCGTTGTGGATTATAAATTTTATCATCAAGATCTGATAATACTCTGATTTTTTTGTAAAGATCGCATTGCTTTACTTTCCAAGAAACATAATTATTTACACAATCCACATTAGGTTCAGAATTTTCATGATATTTGCGTTTATTAATATTCACTTGAGATGTTTCAGTTGGAATAACGTTATTATTGAATATATCAATAATGACTTGTTCTTTACAGGGCCAATATTCAGGAGTAAAAGAATGTCGAACTAACCACGGTTGCTTTTCGAATAGATTCTTGAAATTTTCCTCAAATAGAATATCTTCTGACGAAACACTTGAAGTACCCCATGTGCCAACCATATTAAATATATCTATTTATGGTTGATACAAATTTTTAAACTACCTATGTTAAATTCGTTATAATTACTTTATTTGATATATATAAAGTATAGATTTAGTCACCTGAATAGAAAGGTATTGAAAAAATAAGTAATATCCACAGAATTTATGACTTTAGATAATATGAAAGGTAATAAATATCATAACTTACTAAAATTAAAAATTGAAAACGAACAGTTAAAAACTCAAATTATAGTGATGATCAATTTGTTGTACTTTATTTATAAAAAAAAAATTTAGGGGGTCATAACATTAGAATGGCATATTTATTTATTTAATGAAGAAAAACAAAAATAAAGTTTGCTTAACATCTATCATTTATTCTTAGTTTATAATTAAATGCTTTGAGATCGAATGCATTATTATATTATTATTTTAACAATTTTTTTTTTATAAATTATAATAAAATTCTTCGGTCGGTCTAAACTTGATAAAAATACATTTGTCTCAATGAGTGGAATTTAACAAATATAAAGCTATTGTTATATGGTAATGTATTATTCAAAATTTATTTTTTTTTTTTACTTAGAAATTGAAATATATTAACCAATATCGATCCAATATGTATAAAACCATTACCATTTTTTATTCCTCTCAATCAACAAAAATTAACAAGCTAAAAATTTACAAAAACCAATATTTGGTTGTTGATACAGTATATTTAACTTTAAAATTGGGTATGCTACTAATAAATTTGATTATCACAAAATTTTGTAGATCCATCTATATATATTTTTTGTATATATATTTGGTCGAGAATTTAATTTTTTCGAAAAAAAAAAATGTTATCTCAAATAAAATCTCCCAAAATGATAGATTTATTTATTACAAGATCGTATTCGACAACAATATTAGGAATTTATACAAAAACGATCAAAAAAGTTAAAAAAGATGGTGGTTATAATGATTATGATGATTATGATGATTATAATTCAACTCACATGGAAGACCGGAAATATGACAAATATAGTAATAATATTAATAATATTGGAAACATTCCAAAAAGCAATTATAAAAATTTTAAATCAACTCACCTGGAAGACCAGAAATATGACAAATATAATAATATTGGAAAAATTACAAAAAGTAACTATAATTCAACTCGATTGGAAGACCAAAAATATGACAAATATAGTAATAATTTTAATAATATTGGAAACATTTCAAAAAGCAATTATAAAAATTATAAATCAACTCACCTGGAAGACCAGAAATATGACGAATATAATAATATTAGAAAAGTTACAAAAAACGACTATAATTCAACTCGATTGGAAGACCAGAAACATGACAAATATAGTAATAATATTAATAATATTGGAAACATTCCAAAAAGCAACTATAATTCAACCCACGTGGAAGACCAGAAATATGAAAAATATAGTAATAATATTAATAATATTGGAAAAGTTACAAAAAGCAATTATAATTCGGAAGACCAGAGATATGATAAATATAGTAATAATATTAATAATATTGGAAAAGTTACAAAAAGCAATTATAAATCATCTCATCCAGAGGACCAGAAATATGACAAATATAGCAATAATATTGGAACCATTCCAAAAAGCAATTATAATTCGGAAGACCAGAGATATGATAAATATAGTAATAATATTAATAATATTGGAAAAGTTACAAAAAGCAACTATAATTCAACTCAATTGGAAGATCAGAAATACGGAAAATATGGCAATAATATTGGTAATAATAAAAATCTTCAAAAAAATGTTGAAATAGAAGAAGAAGAAGAAAAAGAAGAAGAAGGAAATGTTATAAAAACATATAAAAAACCAAAACCACAACCAATAAGAATCTTCAAATACATCAAAAATGAAAGAAAGTCACCTAAGAGTAAAGCCCCACCTTTCACTATTGAGACAAGAGTCATTTTACCTGAAAATATGAAATTAAAACCTTTACCAATTCCTGGTGCTAATTACACTCAACCATCATTAGAAGAAGATGAGGATGATGAAATTTCTGATGAAGAATCAGCTAGGAAAGTTCCAAAGAATTTTAGGTCTCCAAGGTCAACCATTTTAAATGCAAAAAAAGTAAAAAAAATATCTTCCAAGAAAAGTAAAATTAATGAGGAGGAAGAAGAAATAGATTTAGATGATGAAAGTGAGGAAAGTGAGGAAAGTTGTGAAAACAATCTAATCAACCCAAGAAGAATAAGATTAAGGGCAAATTATAAAAAATTTTGGGATGAAAATATTCTTAAACCAAATTTTGATATGTTGGAAAATGGTTTGTAAAAATTTTCAAATAAATTATTCCAATGACACTAACATACAACTTTATATATAATTTGAATAATTATATTTTAATAGATTTCTTAAGGTGGTGTCGAGGAACAAAATTGACAAAATTTTATAATTGTCTTAAAGATATTCATTGGAAAGAATTGATACACCTGAATCATAAACAATTAAAAAAATTAGGTGTAGAAAGATTAGCATCTAGAAATGTTTTTCTGAGAGGTTTCAAATATGCTAGAATAGCTTTGGTATGTGATATTATATTCTTGTTATTTTTACAGATTTAAATTTGATATTTACAAAATATATTCCATTATAAAAAAATTTGATTTAAATTTTAATAGGAAGAGGAAATGAGCAAAACATCATCTGATAAATATACAGAGAAATATGGTATAAAACAAACATCTTTGAATGATCCTGAAATCATTAAACAAACAGAAAAAACAAAGAAACAAATAGGTTTAGGTGAATTACAGAAGAAATTAACTAGACAACGTGAAGAAAGATATGAACAACATCATGTGAAAATTGATGAATATGCAAGGGAAAGAAGAATGAAACAAGGAGATTCGAATTCAAATTATATGAGTTCACCTTCCATAATGACTTTGGGAATTCAAAATATATTAAAAAATAGATCTAAAAAAGGTCAGAACTCGGAGATAGATTCTAAGAAGAAAAAATTTATGATAAAACCTGTTAAAGAGAAAAGTATTGGACAAGGACGAATGGGTGTAAGAAGAGTTGGTAGATGGTAAATTTATATAAATTTTGCAAATAATAAGATTATAGAATATGAATTTATTATTTATTTTATTATACTTTTATCTTTGAAAAATAAATCCATACAAAAATACAATTCATGTTGAATTATGTATTATTAAATTGTTTGAATAATAAATTATGTTTATTATAAAATATTGAAAGTTAAATTTAATTTATTATTAACAAGATTTATATAAATAAAAATTATTTTTAATTTATATCAAAGAACGAAGAAAGTAAAGGATTTTACTCAAGTTCCTTTATAATTATTGAAGCACCTGAATTGTTATCCTCTAGAGCTGCTTTTTTAATAGAATTTATACCTTTCATTAAAATATTCTTGACCTCGTTTTTAGTTTCATCGTTTTCTAATAATGCCAAAATTACAAATGAAGCTGTTTCATGACATGAATAATATGATAAATCATTCTTAATAGTATTAAGCAACATTGGGGCAAAATGTAATTCCACTTTCTTTCCACTGAAATCTTGTTCTAATGAATCAGTAGCACCATTTTTTGTCCTATTACTCTCAGAAAGATTATTCTTTTGAATAATTTTTCCATTATTTTTTCCATTTCTTTGTTTAGGAATTGTCCAATGTTGACCTCTTACTAAAATTTTTAGAAATCTATTAGCATATGTAATCATAATATTATCTTTACTATCCTTCGGTGTATCACTTATTAGCTTTGTTATGTTTTCTAAAATTGGTATTTTTTCTTCAACTTTTGATTCACCGTAAAGAATTGTTTCACAAAGAATCTGAGTGGTGTATGGATTAGAAAGCATCTTGGCAGTATTATTTTGAGAATACTGAATTAGAGCGGGAGTTATCAATTTACGAAGTTCCGTAGCCCTGATAATTGGATCCTTTTTACTATTTAAATTAATTAATTTAATCATTAATATTTTTTTTTGTCATAAATTTGAGTACTTACTTTATTCAAATACAATTTGACACAATATTATCAGAAAATATTTTCTTTTACCAACCTGGTTTTCACACGAATCTCATCATTCTGTGCAAGTAATTTTAATGTATCATAATTAAAGTACATTCTAGATCTTCCAGTCAAAAGATACAATATTACACGATGACCATATTTATTGTACAATATGGTCTCGAAAGAATTCTCTTTTATCATTTTCTATTTAACAAAAAACTATTAAATTATTTTTTTTATTCAAGAAAAAAAAATTGCGGAAATGAAAGTTCAAAATTTTTTTTACTTACATCAATAATACATTTTTTCATTAAAACAGTATCATCAACAACATCAAATACTCTTAATAATACGAGATGACCATATTCTTCGCAACATATCTTTTTAATATAATCTCTCATTACTTGTAACATACTTTTGCGTTCCTAATAAATTAAACAATTTAAACAATAAAAAAAAATAAATGAATTTTATATACAAAAAAAAAGAAAATTTAAATTTCGAAAAGAAAAGCAAATAAAAAATTACCTTTGCATTTGCATGTGAAAAACAAAGCATCGCTGCTCTTGAACCTTCACGCGTATGCAAAATTTCTGGAATATGTTTATCAATTAATTGGATTATTGAGAGTATCTTAACTTCATTAGCGTGAGTAAGGAAATCCAATAAAATCCGGTGTGGAATTATGAAATTTAATATCTCTGGCTTTTTCATAAAATTTTTTATGGTTAAATAAAGATTTTCGACAATTTTATCCTTATTCGAAGGATTTTCAGCGATAAGGTCTTCAAGTTTTAAACATTCTGTTTTCTGCGACAATATTTATTAATTACAATTTTAATATGTGCATCAATTATATTAATTACGAGTGAATGAACAAAAAAAAAATAAAATAAAATAAAATAAATAAAAAAATACCTTAAAAAATTTGAACTCGGGACCATAAAATTCTTTAATTAAAGAGAATCTTTGTTTACCGTTAGCACATTCATATGCTTCAAGAAGAACGTTACGAGCTTCAGTATGCATTAACAATTTCGCAACATTTCCTTGAAGTTCAGACAAAATTATATTTTTATACCCTGGACTAATAATAAATATGTAAAATTTAATAAATATAAATATTTCTCTTATGAAAAAAATAAATAAAATGATAAAATTCTTACCAATATTGCATAATTTTACATGCAACGAATTTTGCATACTTGCTCTTAAACACTTCAATCCATCGACCTTCTAATTCATTCGCAACCTTAATTCTTTGTTCTTTTGTTCCATATTTCAATCCAGTTTGAATAATACGGGAAGTATCATGTTTAAATAATAATTCGGGTATAATTCCATCAATTAACTCAAAAAGCTCATTAATATATTTTTTTCTATCTTTAGGTGAAAGGTTTAGTTTACGAGCAAATTCCCAACATTCTTTAATTCCTGATCTATATTCAGGATCAAGCTTACGATTTCCATACTTTTTATGTTCAAATGCTGTTTTAATTCGTGCTTGGTCTATGTTGAAATAATCAAATTTTAATAACTTTTATCTTTTATTAATTTATTATGTACACATCAAATTATTAACCTTACCGGGTTTTTCTTTCTTAAATCGCTTGGCAGAAGGTTCATCGTTAATCTTTTTTTGTTTTATGGAAGAATCTTCGTTTGACTCATTTTTATCACCATCATCATTATCTTCTTCTTCACTATCATCATCATCATTATCATCACCTTCTTCATTATCTTTTTCTTCTTCACTATCATCAACTTCTTCATTATTATCAACTTCTTCATTATCCTCATCCCCTTCTTCTTCATTATCATCATCTTCATCGGATAGTTCTGAACTCTCGGAATCATTATTTTCGTTTATATTTTTATTTTCCACTTTCTTATGTTTCTCATGTTTTACATTTTTTATGTCGCTTTCATTTTCTTCATCTGAATTGCCAGAATAATTTAAAACATATTCATCATCTCTCAATTCAAGGTCTTCCAAATCATCATCTTCAGAATCATCCTCAGAATCATCCTCAGAATTATCATTTTCTAATATAAATCCATCCATATTTTCATCTATTGAATCCATAGTTTCCCAACCTTCACCCTCTGAATCGGGATCGTGATGATCAATGCTCATTACCTCATTTTTGATTTTTGAAGTATCTTTGATCGGCTTTTTTAGGATTGAAGTTAATTTATTACTTTTTGGAGAACCAATAGATTTATTCTTGCCACTTCCAAAAGTAACTTTCTTGCCGCTTTTTGAAGGTTTCTTATTATTAACTGAAGGTTTTGTTACTCCAAAAATTTTATTGACAGCTTGACTTGACGAATGTTCAGAAAACGATCGTTTTGATGGAATTAAAGTTTTTGATGGAGATTTCTTTATCTTTTTAGTTGGTTTTCGAAAAGATTTTATTTTTTTCATTGATTTTTGTGAAGGCATCGTTTTTTTGGGAATGAATAATGAGAATTAGAACGATCTTATTTTTTTATCAAGTTCGATAAAAAAATTTTTTATCATTAATGTTACACTAATTCTTAATTTAGGAATAGTTCAGAAAAATATAATAAATAAATAAAATTTGAAATAAATTATTTTAGGAAAAATTCATTTTATTTTTTATTGCGTAATAAGAAAAAAATATACAATGGAAAATATATTCATAATAAATCTTGCATTTCTGCCATGAATTTATCATATTCATCTACTTTCTTTTTATTGGTTTTTGATTTTTTAGCAGGTGGTGGGGTACTTATAGTTTCTGATGATAAATTATTATTTTCTGATTGTTGTAATAAAGGTATCGCCGTTGAAACACTTCTTTTTATGGCGGTGGTTGTTGTAGTTGAACTCACTCCATCATCGATATTAGGTGCAGCATTTACAACTGGTCGAGCAACTTTTGGTTTATTTTCTGAAACTTTCTTTCGCATGAGCGATGCAGGAACAAATGTAGTAAGTTCCTTTTGAAGATTACGAACTTTCGGTGCTGCTTGAATAACTGGTGTAGCAGTCAACGTACTTGAATTTTCAGGTTGAAACTTATTAGATGTATTGGTTTGAGAGAAATTACGTGACGAAGATCCATAAACTAAATAAATAAATATATTTAATATTTTTTATTTTTTATAAAATTAAAAAAAAAATTATAATTAATAAATTAATAAGTGAAAATTTTGATGTTACCATTTGTAGGAGGAAATGATGATGGTGAAGTTGGTGGCGGTTGTTGTTGCATCATATTAGGTCTCATGTTATTTAATCCGGGATGTCCATTACGCATAATATGAGTTCCATTTGCGGAAGGAAATGATGATGTCGGTGGGGGTTGCATCACATTAGATCTCATATTATTTAATCCAGGATGTCCATTACGCAAAATATGATTTCCATTTGAAGGAGGAAATGATGATGTCGGTGGAGGTTGCATCGCATTAGGTCTCATGTTATTTAATCCAGGATGTCCATTACGTATAATATGAGTTCCAGGTGGTGGTGGTGGTGGTGGATATGATCCTTGATACATCCCGGGTGGTGGTGCAAATCCAAATGGTGGTGGTGGTGGTCTTGGCATATTTGATATATTTGACATATTTGACATGTTTGACATATTGGACATGCTTTGTATATTTGACATGTTTGGTATACTAATAATATTGCTATTTTTTGATGAAGGTGGTGGAGGTCCAGGAGGTAATTCTGGTAAATCATCATCTTCCTCCTCATCACTAGATTTTTCTTGATGTTTTGGAGGTGTCCCAGGAGGAAGTTCAGGTAATTCTTCTTCTTCTTCTTCTCCTTTATTTGGTGGTTTCTTAGGAGGAAGAGGAATATCTTCATCTGATTCTTGTTGAGATTCTATTTAATGCTTATAATTTAATGTGGGGTAACCAAAAAATTTCATAAAAAAATTTTTTATGAAAATAAACATACGTGAATCAGAATTCTGCGAAGGTTCATCTTCTTCTTCAGAAGATACACTATCATTCTCATCATTATCACTTTCTTCCTGACCTTGTGCCGAAATAAATAATATATAATCTATAAATAAATTTCATAACCAAAAAGTTATAAACTATAAAATTGTCCAATTGAAATATCTACCCAAATTAGATGCAGGTAATCCAGAAGGATTTAAAGTTGGATGGAAATGTATAGGATTTTGATCTTTGACATTCTTATCCTTATCCCTATTGAAAACAGAAAATTGTAAATATCTATAATTCTTGAACTTCTTGAAAATTTTAATTAAATTTATTAAATTTAATTAATTTAATTGCAAAACTTTATTACACTTACTTTAATGTACTAACACCATGGGCCTATAATATAATAATTATAATATAATACAATAATTATGATAATTATTAAAATTATAATATAATTATGAAAATTAGAATTTATTAAAATTATTCATAATAATCATAAAAATTATTATCATTTAATATTATACATACCTTCTTTGTCTCACAAATTTTTTTATATTTATCTTCCAGATCTTTTAATTTTGCTTTTCCATTTTTATCCAACTTTTTTTCTCTATCTAAAATAATTGTTATTTTAATTGTCTAATAATAAATTTCATCACTTCTATAACACTAAGAACGAACCTAAAGATCTATATCTTGTTATTTCTTCTTCAAGTTTTGTAGTATCTTTATGCACCATAATAAGAGTTCTTACTCTTTTTCTTTCCATTTTATTCTAAAAAAAAAATAAAATCACTATTTATTAAATTTGATAAACTGTTAATAAAAAGTAATTACACATACATTGAGATATTATTTATGATATTTCTTACCTTTTTAATTTCCTTTTGACGCATCGCCTTACCTTTTAGAAAAATTAGAATATTATTAATCAGTATAAATTATTATGAATTATTATACTTGAAATGTGATTTCCAAAATTAAATTTCGAAAGAGATAACTAACGATGTGCATCGGCAGGATTAAGAAATCTTCTACTTTTCTTCTTGACCATTTTTAATAATTTAGCAAGATCGAATCGTTAACAAAAGTAAAGATTTATTAACTAATAATGATAATAATGACAGAAACTTCTTGAGTGTAACTAGTGTAACTAGTGTAACTATATGTATCAGATCACGGGATAACTACGCTAAAAAAAATATTATCGATTAGAATAAATTTAAATTTCATTTCTATGGTAAGTCGGTAATATTTATCATGTCTTTTTCGTCAAGTGTTGGATTATTAACCGAACAAAGAGAGAGAAAAGAAGAATACGTCATTAGATCTTACCATATTGATTAATTTCGTAATCATAAAATAAATTGAATATTACAACGATAATTTAGATGTAATTAACTTGATCAGGAAAATAGCAATTAATGATAGTTGTACCAAAGAAATCGTGAAACCGCATGTTATATAAATGCAATTGAAAGAATGAAAATCGAATTAATTAAAATTGCCTAAAGTGCTATTTAGCGTCCAACAAGATGTTTAACAATTTTAATAAAATGTAACATTGAAAATGTATTATTCGATTGTAAAATTTTCTTACATTCCAACTTTGAATACGTGTTTTTTCTTTCCCTTCCTCTGCATTTTTCATTTCGTCCTAAATAATGATTAAACTTTTTTTCTTTCCTTAACTTCATTCAAGTTCGTGTATCACATCAAATAAAAATAACACCTTTTTCTCATTTCTTGGGAAAAGTACCGTCCAAAAAAATAAATTAATTAAATTTCATTAATTCCGTCTTTTGTTTAGCAATTATTTAATTTTTTTTTAAAATTTTTTTTAAAATTTTTTTTATCAATGGCAATAATACCATTACAACAAAAATATGAGAGAAGAGCGGATACTACTACTAAACCTACAAAAACGGTAACAAGGGTTAAGACAATTTCTGTAACTTCCTCAACTTCAACTCCTTCTTCAACTTCAGCTTCTTCATTAAAGACGACTTCTCTTCCAACTTCAAAAAGCTCTGAAATTACTTCCGCAACTTCTAAAAACACAATAAAGAATTCTGCGAGTACCCCTAAATTGACATCATCAAAAGAACTTCCCTCGTCAACAGAACTTTCTTCGTCAATAGGTCCCACGCCAACAGAACTTCCTTCAACGGAATCCTCAAAAAATGAAAGTGAAAATGATTCACCATCAGTTGCAATTACTGGGATCTTCATTATAATAGTTATAATGATTATAATTGCGTTCATTGTGCGTAAAAAGGTTAAAAATAAACGTCGCAGAGATCGTGAAGGATCAGTACGTCTAATAGATGAACCAGGTCCATCAGGGATGCTTGCCAGTCGTTCAATTCATTCTAGTCATTCTAATCCTTCTAGTCCTTCTAACCATTCTAGTCGTTCTAGTCGTTCTAGTCGTTCTAGTCTTTCTTCGAGCGTTATTGTTAACAATAGAGTTCAAACTAGTGATGCTCATGGTACTCTTAATAATTTCAATTATAATGATGAACGAGTGAGAGTCCCAAGCAAACCACCTATGGTACAATTAAATAGGTCTAGCGCATTTGCGCTTGATTACGATCCTCGTAATTCATCACAAAGCAACCGTAATTTAAATAATTCACGAGATGTCATTACTCCTATTGCTCCTATAAATACCAACTTAAATATTACTCAAAAACCTTCACCTAAGTCAACTGAACCTAAAAAGAAATATTTAACCCCTAGAACAAGCGTTCACTCTACTTCTAGCACCAACACCACAAGTACCACAAGTGATATTAATAAAAGTCGACCAAGTTCGACATTGGTTCATGATTTAGAGATGGAAGAAACTCAAGGTGGAATCTCTCCAATGAATAGAATAACTTTAAGCGATTATAATGACTATAATAACGTCGTTTCTGAACCATATCCTACATTTGAATCACAATTTCCTTCACCTCCCCATAGACTATCTTCAAATCTGTCGGTTTGCCAATCTGAACAATCTGAAGTAAGTTCTATTGAATCTGATAAAGATCCTTTTAAAGATATTGTTGTTGAAGTAAAGGAAAGCGGAGAAGCAAGTTTAAGATAGATTATATAATTAAATTATAATTAATTGACAATTATTGCGACAAATTATATTTGACAAATATAAAAACTAAATGAATAGTTTTATAATAGAACAATTCAAATAAAATTGATTTTTATTTGTTATATGGCATAAAAAAAAATCAAATATAATTCTTCTCTATAAAGAAAAACTCAAATTTGATTTTATTCGGTTTTATTTAATTTTTATTTATACACCTTTTTTCACCCCTTTTGTATTTTTCTGGAACATTAACATCTTTTTTTTAATCAACCTTACCATACTTTATACATTCGTAATCTTTGTATTTTTATTTTTTATAATTAATATTTCTTTTCTTTCATTTATATGTGGGTTTGATTAATTTTTGTAATTTTTTTTTTTCGCTAATTCCTGATTTAAATATTTGTTTGGTTTATTTGAACCCAATAAATAAAATTTAAATTTACTCCGACTAAAAAAAAAAAAAAATTGTAAAATTTAAAAATGAATATTTGTATATTTTCTTTATTAACAATTATTTTTATCGATATCTTTTCTAATACGTGGCAAGATATTCCTCTGATAGAAAGCCAAATAAACAAATCAATTTAATCAATTTGCAATCATACAAAATAATGGGAATTTTGTGTACTTTGAAGTTTACACGTGAAAAAAAAACAAATTATTAAAAAAAAAACTTTTTTTTTTATAAAACCATAAACAAATCGTCATGAAATTCAAATTTGAAGAAGTTGATAAATAAACAAACCATTTTCCCTTATGTCGTTGGGGATACCGAGAAATAACGAGATCCATGCCCCAAACACAAAACCACATTTCTATCTTCTTCCCTTATTTTCTTTGAAAAAATAAATAAATCAAATTAATATAGATTTTCATATGTATCAAAAATTTTGGGGAAAAAATTTCTAGAGGAAATAACAATAAAACTAATAATGTTCATTGTTCTTAAATGAGAACAATTGATACATTTGTTTATTAACAAATTTGGATAATTGAATATATAAATTGAATAAATGAACTTTGCGCCGCCAATTAGGTGTTTGATTTTGATTGGTCATAAAAAATATGTTCATCTCGAAGAAAAAAAGATTTGGGTTCGAAATTCGAATTAAAAATAAATGGGATTTGTTTGTTACGAAAGGGAAAAAAAAAGTAAATTAAGAAGTTAAATTAAGAAAGGGTCAAATTTTAAAATGAATGCGGTAAACTTCATTCATTATCATGTGATCTAATCACTTTAGATTTATCAAAAATTTTCTATCATTATCATGAAATATAAAAAAAAAAAAATTACATCAACTAACCAAGTTTATTTCTTTTTCACAACGAATTACTACTTAGTAAATGAAATAAGTATCACAGGATAGCATCTGATATTTTAAACAAAATCTTTTTGTAATTAAACATATTCATAAATAGCTAACTTTCTTTACTTATTTTTCTTTAGATGGTTTAAACTTGTGCAGATATAATGATTAATGATTCTTGGGTTTCCAATTATAGTTACTTAATATAATAAAGATAATTTGTAAAAAGGGAAAATATAATCAAAAGAATGAAATAATTTCTAAAATTTAGGATGATTATATAAAAAAATTATAATAAGTCCCAAAAAATATAATACATAAATAAATTGACCAACCACCTAGTATCTGCAATTACTTATAAATCATAATTTTTTTTTTTGAAGCAAAAAAAAAAAAAACTTTACATTTTCTAATTTCATACATACATTCACACAAAGATCATTATGCATATTATTGAACAATGTAATTGCCTTAATTATTTTTTATATAAATATACTGTTAATAAATGAAAGAATTATTTTTTACTTTGGAAGAAAACTCAAGCATAAGAAAAAAAAAAAAAAAAAAAAAAAAAAAAAGAAAAAAGAAAAACAAGAAATTTCACACATGAAAATACATTTTCTACATTTTCTAACAAGTTTTTAATACAACCAATTTTGTCAAATTAAGTGGAGAATTATATCCTTATCATGAGATCATTATTATTATTAAAAAAATTGACGACATTGCATTATGATTGACCATTTATATTCATAGATAAATTCATTTACCATATCATAAATATCATAGTGGTAATAAAGATTTTCATAGTTAATAAAGATAAAGTATAATTGTAAAAATAGTATTGAGTACGTCATAGAAATTTGAAGTAAAATTTGTTTGTTTCACTGTTTCATATTAAAGGAGATTGTAACCACAGCGTGTCTTACGTGTCTAGCTTTAAATCCCTACGTGACCCGTCCCGTAAACAACTTTAAAAGGCGTTTTTTTAATACCCTTTGGGAAGAATATATTTATGGTAATATAAATAAATAAATGGAATGTCGAAATGTTCTGGAAATCATTTAAGAGCGATCATCAACGCTATGCCCTCAAAAATATACAAATTATACAAATTATACAAAATTGTTTGTGACGATAAACAACTCATTTATGTATTGAGAGTTTTATATAAGTACAAAGATAGTAAGATCGTTCATACCATCCAAAACATTATCCAAACAAAATTGCATTATTGGGGTTTATTAATTCTTTAAAGAATTCACCTTTTTTTTTTATGTGAGAAGGAACACATAAGGAACGAAGGATGAGCGAATGATAAGAAAAATAATTAGGTTATTTTTGATAATATTGACGAGTCGTTCACTTACTGCCCCTTCCACACCCTTATAACAAACGTAATATTTTAGGGATAATACAACAATATATCATAATAATATATACTTTTAAATATTTTATATTTTAAATAATTATAATTCCTGAAAAAATTTTAAGAATTATTTATTCTCTTCTTTTTAAAGAACAATCAATTCTGCAGTCGTTGCATGGAAATCACAAGTAACTAAAAGATAATCATAAAAATCATAAAAGGTCAAGAAACAATTATTGTCCAAGGTTATACTTAATATATTCTTGATATATTCCGGTTTTTATTGAACTCTAAAATCACATTTTGTAAGGTGAGGAAATTAACTGAACATAAAATAAATAATGTAACATAATATAATGTAACATAATAATATAATAATGTAACATATACATAAAATACAACATTAAAGATAATATACATAATATAAATAAACATAATGTAAATAATATAATATAATTTACGTTATACGTAATAGATATAATAGATAATAAAGATCATAATAAGATCATAATAAATATTATACTAACCTCATAGAGATAAGAAACACCCTGCGCCAATTACAATTTGACACTTAAAAATTTTTTAACAGGATTTTCACGTGCCAGATATATTGATTTAAAATAAATTTGAGGGCGGGAAAAAATATAAAGGGCCCACTATTTGGACGCTACTGTAATACTCCGTTTCTACTGTTAAGGTCGATTCAATTTTCTCTATATATAGATAATTTTCATCAAACGGCGCGTTTTGTGAGATCTTCCCATCATCTAAAAAAGATAAAAAGACGCATAGATTTTCATTGAATTTATTTTTACCCTTGTTTCCTAAAAACTTGCTTTTTTATTTACAAAAAATTCCAATAGGAAAAATTATCACCGAAAAAAAAAAAAAAATTCCAATAGAAAAATTCTAATATAAATATTAGTAAAAAATTATTCTCATCCTTTTTCATTCATCTTGTTTCTTGTTTGATAATACTTAAAAAAAAAAAATTTAAATTTTCGGGAATTAAAATTTGAGATTTTTAAAAACTTTACGAAAATAAAATGTGTAGTAATATTTCTTTTGTAGAAACTAATGAGACATTAATTCATGAGGAAACTATAAATGGTCAACGAAGATCTCTTGACTTAATATCTCGCAATGAAACAGAAATTTTACAACCACATAATAACAATTCAACAACACAGTTATCAAACATTAATAAAATAAAAGCGAGCACAACACAAACAACAGCAGAAACAACAACAAAAACAGAAGAAGAACCACTCACCACCACCACCACCACCACCAGCAATAATAAAAACGATAATAAAAATAAATGCAATCTTTCTCCAATACCAAATAAGCATGCGACACCAGAAATATGTAAAGAAAATAATTGTGAAGAAAATAATTCAAATACATGTCCTATATGCACAGAGAAAACTAATATATACGCAGTAGCACATTGTAATCATCGTATATGTTTTGTGTGCTCTCTCAGGTCTAGAGTCTTGTTTGGAACGAATTCCTGTCCATATTGCAGAGTAAGTATTAAATTTATGAATGAGATGCATTAATCACTTTATGTAATTAATTCACACTACTACATTTTTTATGTTGTAAACTATTTCATATTTATATTTTATACTTTTTAATACTTCTTTTTTTATCAAAATAAAAATACTAAATGATAAAAATTAAATACTTTATATTTTTTTAGGCTAACCAGAATAAAGTAATATTTACTGATGACGCCACAAAACCTTTCTCGGAATTAATGAATAATCATAATAATAATAGTAACAAAACAACTCGGTACTTAATATCGGATCACCAAATACTTTGTGAAGATCAAAATATATATCACATGACATTAGACATGATTAAGTTTAAATGTCCAATAAAGTCATGTCAATCTTCATGTGATGAAGGGTGGACCGAACTAGTTCAACATGTAAGAAATGTTCATAAATTAATATTTTGGTAAGTAAAAAAAATTCATTTATTACATTTATTATTAATTACATTTATTTAAATTTACTTTATTAATTTTTTTTAATAATAATAATAACAATATTAATAATAATTTGTTTAATAATTTATTTAATTAATAATAATAATAGTGGTAGATGTATTGCCCATCGTAAAATATTTAGTTGGGAACATATATTATACACAAAAGAAGAATTAAGAAGACATTATCGTAGTGGAGATTCTAAAGATACTAACTTTCGTGGACATCCATCATGTATAGAATGTAATGTAACATTTTATGATCTAATTGAATTTCGAGAACATTATTTAATGCATCATGCAATTATTCCCATGAACAACAACAATAATAATAACAACAACAATAACGAATCGCAAAGATCAAATTCTCCAATAATTGCAAACATAACAACATCGTCACATCAACAAATATCACATAACACTCATCATCATAATAATAATATACATAATAACAATAATACACAAAATAATACACATAATATGCATAATACACATAATACACATAATACTCATAATACATTTTCAGCAACAATTCCTTTATCATCCACTTTTGACATTTCAGTTTTAATTTTTTGCATTTTTTCAATTTTCATTACACTTCTGGGAGCATTCTCAATTCCAAATGATAATAAATATTTTGCATATATAATTCAAACATTAGATGAATTAACTTCTTCAGTATTTAACATTAATGTAAATGATTCAAATTTCACAGCATTACATACCATCTTTACAACAATTTATTCATTTGGGTTAAGATTAATTTTTGTGATTTTATATTTAAGTATGATATTTTGGGTATTAAAGAGTTGGTTTTTAATTATGACTTGGATTTTTTATATAATTTGTGGATTGGTAATATTTAAATTGTGTTGGGAAAATTTATTAAATTAGAGAATTATTATTTATTATTATTTTAATTTATTTTATTTTGTCTGGAACAAAATAAAATCATTTCTTTTTTTTTTTTTTTTTTTTCAGCATCTATACATTGACATTCAACATTAACTAGATATAACATTTTTAATGCATTTACTTAATTTGCATATTCATTTTGAAATCTTTTAGAATGTAAATATTTTTTATTATTATTTCTAAAAGTTGCTTTATCCAATCTTTACAATTTTTTTCATATTGAATATGAAAATTTATTTTTCGTGAATACTGTATCTTAAATTAATTTTGTACAAAAGATTATGTAAATTACTATAAATACAAACTTTAATAAATTAAAGAAACATATATATTATCTAAAAAATCACAAATTAAAAATAAACTACAATTTTTCTTATAGATTTTCGCAAAATAAATCTACGACGCGTATAAAATTATAAAATTCCGACCTTCGTTTCTGTTATTCCCAAGAAGGAAAATGGGATTTTCGTAAAAAAAAAAAAAAAAATTTTTTTCCCACATAAATGCGATCAATGCAAAAAAAAAAAAAAATTTCTAAAAATATTAAAGTATTTAAAAGAATTACATAGAAGTATTCCTTTGCCGCATCGCATATCATCATGCAATGCCTATGGTAATACATACATGGAAAAAATTAAATGATTCGAGTGCATCATATGTTATTACTTTTTTTTTTTATTTATTTATTTATTTATTTTTAGATTTTTTTGGTCATTCTTATTTATTTTTATAACAAAAATATAATCTTTTCTTCCGCATGATATTTCTTATTTTCAATAAAGAATCTGATTCATCTGTATTAGATTTATTAGATTTGATTCAACAACTGAATAAATATATAAAAAAAAACATAATTGAAAATCTAGCCTGAACTTGAAAGAACATCGACGACATAATTGGGTCATTATTGTATAATACATAAAGATATACGGATAATGAAACTAATAATAACATCGAAATATGGAAAAAAAAAGATATAGAAACTGTAGAAACTCTATAATTAAAGCAAGGAGTTTATAGCTCCTATTTTGAAGAATTAATAATTATTCCTTCTCCTTAAAAGATTATTTTTAGAATTACATTTTAATCTGCATAAATTAATGATTAAATTTAATCATTAATTTAACTAGGAGAAATTTACCTCATATGGAGTTTATGAGTTAAGGCCAAAGTTGGGTAGAGTTAGAGATCCGATGATCTTCCATAATTAAATAATTAATATTAATTTTTATTGAAAGGGAATTTATAATTAAGAAAATTATTATATATATTAAATACATATAATATAATTAAAATGGAAATTTATATATTATAATTAAATAGAAATATATATAGCTGTCAAATATTATAAAAGATTAGAAATATATAGGTCCATTTCCAGATCCAGAATGTCTAACTTCTGAAGGAAACATTAGAGATGGAGTAGGGGAACTATCATTTAAGTCACGACCAGAAGTTCTCCAAGCTACTATTAAAGATATTAACCATAATACTGTGTTAAGCCAACCAATTACTAAACTCGATACAGCTAAATTACATTGTAATTTTGTCCACTGTGCTATTTTATTATCAAATTCTTTTTTATGACCCGTCGTTTGTATACTACTACAACTCAATCCTGCACCTGAATACAAAGGATCTAAATTCGCGAGACCTGTTAATAATAATAATAATAATTATTATTATTATTATTATAATTATGAATGACAATTAAGAATAATTGTGATAATTGTGATAATTGTGATTATAATAAATATATTAATTTGCTTACTTGCTGAAAACCAAAGAGTGAAATAAAATCTAAATATTATTACCAGAGAATAGTTGATGAAATAATTAGTAAATAAATTAATTAATTAAATAATTAGTAAATAAATTAATTAATTAAATTAATTAAATTAAATAAATCAATTAATTAATCAAATTAATTAATATACAAACATTTCAATTGTTAAAATTGTAATCTTATTTTTCCATAAAAATCGAACTTGAGACAAATAAATAGCTAAGAAAGTTATTCTTAAAATTAGCACATATGAACAAGTTAACAGAAATTGATCAGAAATATTCAAGAAATTCTTTAAATGCTTAACTTGTTCCAAGTATTGTGAGAATTATCACAATGTAATACCATATTTTTACATGTCCATCAACCCTAATAAATTATAATAAAATTTTAGAATATTTAAATATAGAGTTTTGTGGAAATTTTAATAAATTTAAATAAATTTAATAAAACTTACTTTGAATGTTTCTTAAAATATCTAGATTTTGGTATTTCTGCATAGTAATTTGAATTATTTACTTCATCAACATAACTTGACCATGCATAATATTCTGTTGCTTCTGAAAACATTTGAATTCATTTAAAAACCATTTTTGAAAAAAAGTAAATTAAATTATTAAATTTTTAAAATATTATTATTTTAATGATTTGATTTATTTATTTGATGAAAAGAAATTTTTTTTTTGTAACTCACCTAAAATACCGCATACGATAGCCACCAAAATAATTAGCGCCTTCAAAGCCTGAAAACCTATTAGACTTAGACTTGAACTCGACATTTTCTGCCAATTTGTTATTTATCGTTATTTATTATATTTATTATTGTTATCTTATTTTTATATATTAAATCTATTATTGTTTTATTAATATATACTATTTTTTTTTTATTATTGTTTCATTAATATATATTAATTATTACTATTATTATTATTATTATTATTATTTATTGTTTTGAATATTCTTGAAAACGAATAAATCAATTTCTTCAGGGTTTAACTAAAATGGATTCCGATTTTTTTTTTAAAAAAAATTAAATGTTTATCTTAATGATATCTTAAAGATATTGTAAAATTTCGATTGATATTTATTTTTAAGAATGTTATATTCATGTAAAGTTCATTTCTGTTTTTTTAAAAAAAAGCAAGCGATTTTTTTTTTTTCCAAAGAATATTACTTATTATTTTGTCATATAACGTATATAATCAATTTTTGTATTACTTATTTTCATTATATTTTTAGATTTAGATGATTATTAATTTTATTCTTTAAAATATGATATAGATGACATATTATAATTACTGTTAAAAGAAAACGGTAATAATAAAATCAAAAAAAAATCCTCGATACCATTATTCAAAATTATATATATATATAAATTATAATTTCCACTTTCATTTACTATATTTAGATAATCACTCACTTATTCTTCCTGTATTATTGTTAATTAATTTTGTTTCGGGTCTTTGTACCACTTGAATTTTTTTTTTTTTTTAAAACAATGAATATAAGAAATTTCCAAAACGCCCGAAAAATACCGGGAACTGTTGATCTGTTTTGTTGTTGTTTCTTCTTGTGATTGTAAATTTGTATGATGGTAAAAATAAAATGGTTAAATTGCGGTATTAGTATTACATACACATATATGCATGAAAAAATGTTACCTTTATTACTTTATTTATTCACATAAATAAGATTAAAATATAAATTGTATCTAATAATAAATTAAACTGTGATCCGATACTCCGAAAGAAAAACTTATCCCTTAAACGGCAAATCATGTGAATTGCGGGCAAATTTGCCCGCATTTATTAGTAACTTGTGACGTCACTACCGTTTAAGGGATAATATAGATAATTATTTTTTGCTGATCGACTTTTTATATCATGCAGATCCCAATTTCAAAGTTAAAAAGTTTTTATCCGAATTTTATAACATAATTTTTTTACAAAATTACTCAAAGAAGGTTTCATTGATAAGTTTAGTATAATTGAAAGATAAAAATATCCATATCGTTTTATTAAACCAGTGCCAGGCGCGCAAATGTTAGAAAAAGATAACAATCAAAATTTCAAGTTTTGTCTCTTTTTTCAGCGAGTTTAACAAGAATCAAATACTTCATTTTATGTAATAAAGCATTTTTACCATCAATAAAATGACCCTGATTTATGTATATTTCTCATAATTATATTAATATCTTATGCAAATTGAGGATAATGTATTGCAAATAAAAAAATTAAAATACCAATCTTGTGTGCTAATAAAACTTTTGAACAATTCGCATATATATAAAAGTTGCTGAACATGCAATTTGAATTAGATTTGTTAAAACAAGAGAATACAAGACTTACGATCAGAATCGCAGAATTGGAACATATCCCGAAAGAAAACAATGAGCTTGTATTTGCAAATTCTATTTATAAGATAGCACAGAATGATCAGGGTTGACACCATGGGTCGGAATTTTAAATTTTAAATTTTGATACATTAGTTTAACCTTTTTCGTATTCTCTAAGATTGATACCTTTTCTACTGCTAGTGTTCATCGCCTTAACCTAGGTAGTTTCAAAAGATTCCCTCGAAAGAACGCGTAAAAGTTTGAAGCTGATTTCAAGGAAAACTCTTTGGAAAATAATGGCGTTTTTCTAACGCGGCGCAAATCAAAGGGCATTCTTAATAGTGCGAATAGTTCTTTCAGTTTTGACTTTTTTGATAGTCAAGTAAATTCCTTAGGTTTTTCTTCAGCTAATATGAAACAGCTAAAGCACGTATCCACGGAGTCTTTAATTAAAGCGCGTAGATCCTTAGGATTTGATTCTAAGGACAATGACAAAATATTTGGTGATTTCACCTTAGAAGAAAAGAACGAATTATTGAGTCAACAACCAAACTCTAAAGTCACTACAGAACATATAAGTCACGAAAATTGCGTTACAAAGAACGATTATAAAATGTCCGAGTCATCAACGGCGCTTTCGACATTGAATTTTAAAAAAAGTACACCCAAATTAAAAAATCAGTCACATTCAAAGCGTGTTCATGAATCCAATTTTTCAAATAATATATATCTTTACACCCTTTAAAGACTAAAAACAACGAAGAATATTGTCACCCAAATTTATCAAATAATTTAAATAGTCAATCTCTTCAAAAATCAATAGATCTTGATCAAAAAATATTTGATTTAACAGTGAATTGTTGAATTTAATATTTATTATATTAATAAGTATTTATTAAAGAGATTTATTTTCGTATTTTTCTTTTAGCACCTGCGAAAAGATATAAGCTTAAAGATTTTGTGTCTCCTCATAAATTTTCACTATCGATATGTAAGTCAAATATCGTTTAAATAAATTAATAAAATTAAATTATTAATACTTCTAATGTTTAATTAAGTTCTTTTTAAGTAATAGAAATGATACCCTTACTCGTTGCTTCATATTGTTTTATCAAGTCTTGTGATTAAAAATGGGGGAATGGGTCCTGATGAAGTAATATTTAATCTTATTGAAGGTGGTTATAAATTAATTGTGTGGAAATTGCGAGTTTAGTTCGTTCGTTCCCACATGAATTTAGTAACTGGTGGTGTACAAAAAAGATATTAGAAAAAGATACTAGAACAATTACAATATAGGTAAAATATAATTTTTATTATAAATACATATATACATACGTATATACGCATAAAAATCATTTCCTAGATATAAAAAGGAGATTAATTGCGTACAACGTTTTAATTATTGAAGGAGACGAGACGATGATCCAAGTTGACCAATGGTTTTATGTGTGTCTGAAATATATACGAAGAATCTGAATTCATTAGGTATTAAAATAAAGATATGTCATGTTAAAAAATATATATTATATTAAATTATTATTATTATTTCTTATTAGACAAAACAGAAGAAATGTCTAAAATTAAATATAGTCTTGAATTAACTGATTCTTGGTACAAAATACGTGCTATCATTGACCAGCCACTTCAAAGAGCTATTTTGAAGTCTAAAATAAGAATTGGTTATAAGTTAGAAATATGTGGTGTTAAAGTACATAATAATGTTTTAATTCTTCTTTTGTTTCTGATATTTATTTTATTTATTATATTTATTTTTAATTCTTTTAATTTTAATTTTTTTGTCATAGATCGAATGTAAATCTACCGGAATATCAGTTCTTGAAGCTTTAAGCTCAAAAATTCGCCTTAAACTTTCTAATTGGGATGCAAAATTAGGGATCAGAAAGTTTCATCCATATGCGTTATTACGAAGTCTTTCATCTGATGGTGGATTTGTTCATGCAATCAATATAATAATACAACGAAAATATCCATTGTTTTTTCGCGAATCTATGAAAGATGGTACTGTGGTTGTGCGAGATGTAAAGAACGAAGAAAGGGCAAGAAAAGAACAGGAAGTGAGCGAAGTTTGCAATGACGTTATATTAAATAATAGCAAATACGATTATTAAATGAATTTTGTCTTAGAAAAGGGTCAACGAATTAATTCAGTCATCCAAAGAATCGAGTGATGCCGACGGTCACGTTGATGATGATTATGGCGAAGATGATGCTGTTGATGGTGATTTTGTAGTTGTTAATAGTGACGGTGATAATTTAATAAAATAAAATCGGAAATCTTTATCATTACAAGGCAATCGTCTTTTTATGTCAAAAATATATTTTTAAATGCTATAGAAGTTAGACATCATTATTTCTCCAAAAAAATATATTATAGAATTTCAAAGTATTACTTCAGGTGAAGAATAATTTAGAAGCCTTTGAATTCTCTCAAAATATGAATTCGAAACAAATCGAAAGATTGCATGATTACATGCAAAGAAAAGAACAGAAAAAAGCATCAAAAATGAACCAATGGATCTCAGAACAATTAGAATCCTGAGGAACATTTAATTGATTCTCTACGAGAAGGACAATGTCACTCTTTGTGATGATCTTTGGAATAAAAATGTAATGAAGTTGACATGTAGGAATAATTTTGGAGTATGTGGTTTCCACATAATTTCGAGTTTATTAAGAGCGCATTAGTAGTTCATTATTTCATTAATTTGGGTGAAAAAGAGATTTACATTTTTTAATTATCTAATATTATGAACTTGTTACCAGAGGACAACGATACAACAAATAAAAAACGTGATTTTCACGGATACAAATAGTGCAGATCGAAATTAAAAATCCATTTTTAATTTGTATGAACGAATTATTTAAGGTAAATAATATTGATTATTATTATTATAATTATTTGCTTTATTAATATATTAATATTTATTTATTGTTGAAAAATAGCCCAAGAATACTTTCGCTTTCATCAACTTACATTATCGCGTATACGATCCACGACATTCTGTATTTGTTCTTTCTACTTGTGATGAAACCGAAATTGATTTTTAAATTATTGAAATTTAGAAGCAAAAACTATAGAATTATGCAATCCATGTTTCGAATATTCATTTATAAATAAATATTATATATATTACTGGAATTGCTGAAACAAGAAACGTATGCTTTAATTACTGTATAATAAATTTACATAAAAAATAAATAATTGTTTTCTCAATACTACTTGTCTTAGAATAGAAAAAATTCGTTGATCTTCATTATTTTTATTAAATTATCTTTTATTAGTTATTTTGTTCTGTATGATTAAGTAACAAATTATATATAATTATTTATATGATTTTTTGGGGGAAATAAAAAAAATATAAAAATATATTTAATTTATATTTTCTTAGTTAATTATAAATTCTTACTAAAAGAAGTGTACTTTTTGAATTTTTGTTAATTCTGTATCTCATCAATAAGACCAACATTCTTGATATGAAAAGTTTTTCATAAAGATAATTAGCATTACTACGTTTTTGCGAACATGTATCTCTCAAAAATTTCATGGCTTGATCTTTCATTTGAATTGATGATCCTTTCTGATGAAATAGAATGACCAATATTGAGCATCTGAATATTCCTTAATAGCTGCTTGATATAAATATTTCAATTCCCTTTCCATTATCATTATTATATCCTTTGAGATAATAATATCCACTAAAAAATTAATTTTTGTATCATTTATTTTTACCTTTAAAATATTTCTTAATTATATCCCATGATTGTTGTTTCTTATGATATTCAAAAGTACTATTGGCTCAGACCGCTGTTGACCGTGATTTACCTTCAAATAAATACGATTAACTAACAACTAAAGGCAGGGAAATATGTATAGCGAACACTT